ACGAGTATGTATGTATGTAAACGCACACAGAAGCCGTAAGGTGTGATTGGTGTTGATGTTGATGTTTCTGTCGCGACAAAGGCCATTCACCGATATGTATGTAAATACGCGTGTCATGGCGTGCTGTGAAATGCCATTACAACGAAATATCGAAAAAGTACACACTACCACACCACTTACAAAACCAAAACGAAAAGTGTGCGTACACACAGACAGTCGAAAAAATTTGCATAAATAAATAAAGGCACGTACATATAACCGCAAAGGATGATGAAAAAAAGTTAACAAAGGCAACAGATGCATAGGTGTATTGCTTTTGTGGCGCAATGCGTGGAATTAAATTGAAAATAGAAATTTGTATTTATTTTTCTTTGCAAAGTAAAATCGATCGAATTTTGGTAGCACTTTTTGCTGGCGGGCTGAATGCGACGCGTGTTAAAAGTTGATATTTACATACATATGTATTCTGGTAAATAATTCAACATCGCTTTTTAAACACACGCAGAAGTACCAAGGCAATTTGGATAAGGTGGATAAGTGATCCCCTTGAGTGGTAACTAATAAAAAAATAATTACAGTTATCATTTACGTGGAGCACATAAAATTGACATTCGATAGTGTAGGAAGGAAAAAAATAGGCTACGCATTTCGCTGAATCAAATGCCAACCATAGATATGCCACAGACTTCGAAATATTGTAAAAAAGGGCGAACAAAATTGAAAAAGTGTGTCATTTTGAGTTCGAACATACTCTTCACCTCGAATGGAAAACTGTTGAAAAAAGTCGACGAACTACATCAAAAATTCAACCGACAAAAAGTTTAGTATAATTTAAATGCAAGCCAATACGTGTATTTGATTTCCATAAGAGTTAAGAAAATGGACCTGAAGGGACGTCATACTCAAGGTTAATGAATTGGTAAGAAATAGTTAATAATGACCTACTTGAACTTGACAAGGCCAATGGTTTTTTTTAGATTTTACACACTTCCTCCTAGTAGCTGACTAAGGCACAATTATCGCTTTTTGTGGCCTTTTGGATCCACTTCCTAAATCCTATAGTGCTTTGTTGAACAATCTGAATTCCTTGATGAAATTATTAGGTGTGCTATTTGTGTAACTGGGCGTTTTTATTTATACATATATAGTATTTCATAATTAACATTTGCAAGGTCTTGAAATTCACAGAAGAAATGCCCGCTGCTTTCTTGGGTATATTCTAGCTAGCAGCTGCGGAAATTCTTTTTTCTCAGGAAATTCCCATTTTATCCGCGTGCATGCCCGGGGATCCGAAAGAGAAGCTTAGAATACTAACAGGTAACCTTACAGGACACTGCAAACTAAAAGGACATCTATACAAGGTGGGGTTATGGTCAAATGAACTCCTGAGCACATACACTCCTTATCCCCGAAAGCGCTGTTGAACTTTTTCTAAGGGAGCTAGGTTCCCAATGTTATTGCGAAGCTAAAACTGAAGCTGACTTCCATACTACATTCCTTTCATTCGCCTTTTTGTTGCCCCGTTCATCAATTAGTTGTGTGTAGCAGCTCATAGTGTCTGTCAGCATGATTTTCAACGTTGTAATTACATTTCTTGTTCCTTTTTTTAAATTATTTTTTAATGCTTTAATTAGTAATTCGCTTTCAATTACTTATGTTTTATGTATGTGTATATGCGTAAATTTAAATTGACACTCATGAGCATGCTAAAAAATATACAATACAATTTTATATGTTTTTATAAATAATTCAGTGCTTATCGCTGGGGCGTGTGCAGCAACAAAAATATACATACATGGCAGAGTATAAGAAGAAAAACACTATGACTTGCAACCAAAAGCACTTTACTAAATAATTTGTGTTGCATAATTTTGTGTACACATACATATCGCTCATTTACTTCAATAGTGTTTTAATGAAAAAAAAAAAATAAAATATTGAGTTAAGTATATAAAGATACTTCTTCTTCTTCTTCTTGTTCTATGCTGTATCGATCACCAGTAGTGCACTAGAATAAAATATGTATACATGTTGACTATGGGAGTATATGTAGGTAAATTCAAAACTTTGAGGACGTTTTTCGCGAGTTTTGCTTTTTTGAGTTATGACACTATTGAAGTAAATAAGCGAGATATATATATATATATATATGTATGCACACAAAAAATAAAAAAAAATAAAATAAATATAAACTCAAATTTGTTGTCGAGTTTGTTGCATATTTTTAATGAGCATCATGCATTTACATGTTGCTACTACGTGGCGTATGAGTGATGTGCGTGGAATTAACTGCAATGCGTTGCTTGTTAGCGCATTGGTATGCACATACATACTTAAGTGTATTCGTGTTTTGCCCTCAACATGCATATGCGAGCAGGTAGTACACCTCACACCGCTTAAACCTATTAGTTGGCCCACGCACTTGCTTCTAGTTAAACCTGTATGTATGCAGAAATGTAAATATATATGTATATATGTATATGCATGCACAGATATACGAAATTTGTATGCATTTATTTTAGTTGCTGCTGTGCATTATTTTGTCCTAATTTTAAGAGTGCATTTGAATTTGAAGTTTTGAATGAATGAATTAAAATATATTTGGGTCGAAGGAATTAAGAAAGGGGGATAACCCTACAAATATACATAAATGAATTGGCAGTTGTTACTTAAACAAGTAGTTTTTAGCAAAAAAAAAAACCGACTTCAACTCTCATATAAAAAATATATATATATTAGGGTGGGTCAATTAAAAAAGTTGATTCATATCCTTGCGATTCTGGTACTATGGACCATAACAAACATTTTCGCCCAAGGAACCATACCTCTAAAATCATTTTCGAGCCTGCCAAAATTTTTTGGTAGATATTTTCAAAAATACCAAATAAACGACCTCTTAGATGCATTTCAAAGACAAAAAAATATTATTGAAAATGTGTATACGGGGGTTTTTTGGGTCAGAGAATCCATTTTTCGCATTAATTTTTAATTTTGATCGCCACCAGAGTGCGTTTTTGAACAATTTTTTGGATTTTTCACTTTTTTTGGGGGAAATTGACGAACTTATTGCTCAAATAGTCACATCTTTGACTTTCTAATAATTTAAAATAATGGAAAAATATTTATTTCTTTATTTTGCTTTATTTTTTTATTTTTTATTTTTTTTATTTATTTTTATTTTTTTGCGATCAAAATTAAAAATTAATGCGAAAAATGGATTCTCTGACCCAAAAAACCCCCGTATACACATTTTCAATAATATTTTTTTGTCTTTGAAATGCATCTAAGAGGTCGTTTATTTGGTATTTTTGAAAATATCTACCAAAAAATTTTGGCAGGCTCGAAAATGATTTTAGAGGTATGGTTCCTTGGGCGAAAATGTTTGTTATGGTCCATAGTACCAGTATCGCAAGGATATGAATCAACTTTTTTAATTGACCTACTAATTGACCCACCCTAATATATATATATATATATATATATCTCATGATCGGATCTTAACCAGATTAGTATGGGACCACCTCTGAGACACTACCTTTCCGATGCAAAATTATCGAAATCGGTTGACGTGGTCCAAAGTTATGCGGTAACATACATTAAAAAAAAAATATTCCGACGAACTGATAACCTCCTCCTTTTTTGGAAGTCGGTTAAAAAAAGAAAAAGTTAGTTCGAAAAACATAGTTTTATGAAGGCAAAGAAAACAAGCATATTGCCGTCATCAATACTTGATTTTGTAAGATTTGCCAATAAAACTTGCTATATTTGTTACGCTTTGCACTGGCTAGGTTGGTAATAAAAAGGGGCGACATTGGTCTATGGTCTGGCAGTTGGAAGAATGTGGACTTCCAGCTTTACACTATTTATTTCGAAGTGAACTGTTTTATTCCGCGTGCTAAACTGTGTTTCGAGGCATTAGACAGAATTCATTTTGCCATCAAATTATTCTAATTTTCGAGGAATTGTGAGAGTGTACGACTCAATCAGCATATATGAAGAATAAGAAAAGGGGGTAAAAAACTGGTTAAAGTATGTATGCCATCTTTACCAACTGATAATAAATAAACATGAGATGGTATCAAAAAATGTAAATATGTATACATATTTGAATGTTAAATTCTGATTAACGATGACTTCAGAAACATTCGCATGAATTTTTTGCAATCGCTGTTTCTTTTATGCGCAAAAAATTCAATAGTAATTGCTGTGTAATAGAAGTTTTATGCATGACTCGTTTGTAAAATTTACCGGAAGCGAGTGAACGAAAAATATAAATAGCCAACAAACAAACGCATGCATGCACCGGACGAACCATACATATAGAATAGGAAGTTATCAAATTCCCCGGAAGTGTATGCCATGATTGCTTGCAGGCAGTGGATGCATCAAGTGGACGACTATGCCTACATGGTGTTGCCTACTTTCAGTGGGACGAAATTTGCATATCTGAAATTTTTATCACTTTTTATTGTTCAAAGCAAACAGTTTTTATAGCAGCGCCAGTGGAAGCACCTGATGTTGCCGCTGTACGTAGTATTTGGCGCAAAGTGCAGGTGCAAAAAATCGTGGAAAGTTTTTTTTTTTTTTTTGCTGGCGGGTTTGCCACCACCATGGACACGCAAATCGCTGTGCGTAACGATTCACTGGCTGTCATATTTGGAATTCGGAATTCATTTCCTTTTCATATGCATGTCCGCAACAGATCGAGCAAAATGTGTCAGCCATATGCTAATGTTTTGTTGTTTTATGTGTTTGGTTGTTGTTGTTGGTTGCAGACCCAATTGCCGAGGAATATATTGCTACACTTACTACATTTTTGTTAAAATTTTTTTTTTCCAAAAAAATGTATGGAGGCAGTAAATCAATAAACAAATTCTGCCACTCTCTCTGACATAAATTGATTAGGTCATAATTCACTTCGAAAAGGCCACTCTAGCAATTTGAAAGCGTTTTTACTCAAATGTGTTTTTTTTTTTTAAATTTTTCCAAATAATACTTACCGGTGGTGTTTCAAAAAGCATCACTTCAGTGCCTTTCAGTACTAGAAAGCGTGGCTTGTAACTTTGCCAGGAGATGTTGTTGTTGATGACACCCTCATTCACCCATCCCATATATTCGATTCGTTCGCCTACGGCGAAATTGCGATTGTAAAGCTTCATCTGCAAAAAACAAAAACGGGGGAGAGAGATGGAGAAAAATAAATGAAAATTAAAATATGCATGTATGTATGTGTGCATGTAAGTATGAATATATATCACATACTCCTATCATAATGTTTAAAAGAGTTCTCAAGATTTCTTATTTTCATTTAAGAAATATCCCTCATCTAATAAACTAAAAAGAAATATGCGTGAATCAGAATCAACTGCGCCATATGAGTAATTCTTCATTACAAATTTAGAGTTCAGGACGAGTTAAAACGATTTTAAGTTCAATTTGCTTTCATCGAAGTTGTATAGAAAAATGTGGAAAAATAAAATTGTTGCCCGAATCACGTGAATCGGTTAAGTTTCATAGAATTAAAAAACAAAAATTTTTTTGAGTCCTTTTTTCGTTTCTGAAGGTTAAAGTTTTTTCCAGGAATTTACAGTTTTCTGAAATAAAATCTGGTAATACTGGCTACAGCTGAAGTGTTTTTAAAAGAGTTTAGCTTAATTCAAGCCCTTTTAATCAATTGAGACGACAGGGCTATATCTAAAAAAGCCTAAAAAAATAAAATTATAAACAAATCTCAAAATAATTGAAAAGTAATGTATTTTGCCAGAAACCTTACGCACGTGTCCTCAGAAGACTAGTTTATTGATTGGTTTATTTATTCCTACTATCGTTCTGACCTCCAATGATATAAGTATGTCACTACGATCCGTTAATACCTTCAAACCGCTTATACTTTTCGATTCATCTACATATCAATATTAGTAATGAAGATTTCACAAAAGGCATTCTTGCTAAGAAGTCCTAGAGAAATATATACCTATGTATGCATGTCCTAGCATGTTTTACCCAACTATGAAAAATTACAAATAAAATTCTTTCATCCGGTATAGATAAGTCCATTGGCTTTCAGATATTCGTGTTGATTAAACGTATATTTTTTCATTAACTCATTCATTGCTTCTCCTATTATAATATATAGAGGTATTGACCATCACGAGTCCATTTGCGATTAAAACGATAAAGTCAAGGGTACAAGATACAGTGCAGGCCACTTGAATAGAATTGATCACAATTTACTTTCATAAACTTTTTTGTAAAAATATAACATGTACCATAACGAAACCATGTAAAATCGATTTTCAAACTTTACGCAAAATTTAGAATAATTCAACAGATATTCAACAAAATTTCAAACATTAAAAACTCCATTTTTGATTTTTGATAATTTTTTTTGGTGGACACCCTCGACAAATGCTCCCCTGTTAAACCTTAATATGCTGTAGAAAATAGGTAAAAAAAATTGTCCAAAACAGTACAAAATTACTTTAAAATACATCCCTGTTTATTTTTTACCGCGAACTCAATGTAACGGAAGCGAAAATAACTTAATAAGAGCATAAGCGAAAAACCAGATTTTTGTCGTTATTTTCTACAGCGTATTGACCTTTAAGTATTAATTTTTTTATCCACAATGCAAGCTTAAAATTAAAATATCTTGGGAAAATGACCTGCTTAACCTACGACCCAAAATCAAGTTTACGCGTCTTCCTTTTTTTTGTGTCATTTTAGCGTTCCTACAGTTGTATTAAATAAACAAGAGGAAGGCTCTCAATAGGGAGGATCAAAAGAGGGCGCTATTGAAATGGCCGCCACTGCTTTATCATGCTGAACATATAGAGTATTTAAGTAAGACCTGTATAGAGCTCTAAAGTTATGAAGAAACTGGAACAGTCTAAAAGATAAATACTATTTTATTTTTCCGCTCCAGCTGAACAGCAAAAATTTCTTATCATATATAGTTAATCATCTGCCGTGTTTCCAAAAATATAGATCCGCAATAAACTCAATATTACTAAGTAGCAACTGATTTTCTCCCCTCTGTACTGAAACTAATTTATGTTTAAATGCAGTCCCTGCAACACCATGGAGACGCAAGATATCACCAATAATTTATTTCTTGTTAAATAAATGTAGTTTATTTTTCTTATGATATATGAAATGAAATACATATACATTAGGGATGTTAATTTTTCGGCTTTTTCCAATCCCGGGATTTTCGGGATGGTGTTGTCACAATCCCGGGATCCCGGGATTAGTCCCGAGATTTAGATAGACATTCATTACTTTTCAACAACTTGAATCGAAAAAATTGCTTCTATATTGTGTGAGAAGCTCTCCTACCAAGAAATAAATAATAAATAAATGGGTTTGAAACCTACTTTTTTATTTAAGTGGAGTTTATATTTTTTTTTCTGACCGCACGATTAATTTTGAAGGACTTTGTAATTTCAGAAATATGATTAAGTCCAAAAATTGTTAAAAAATTCAATGCAATGTAGAATAAAAATACGCGTAACAAATGCCATAGCAAATTTCTTTAAAACTTAAATTTTTTGGATTCACCAGGACTAATAGGTAAGCTGACAAAGTTAGAAGAACGAAATTCGAGGATGTTATCGAGTTTATATAAGCCCTTAACATATATTTTTTTCAAAAAACAAATATTGCGAAATTTCAAGAATAAAATTTTGAAATGACATTTTCAATATTTACCAGCCCTTCTGCACCAGAAACTTGAATCTGTTTAAATTCTACAGGATTTTCTCATTAATTTTATACCCATATCCCGGGATCCCGGGATTAATATTCCTAATATACATACACATACGCTCACAATTTGTTCACACTTTTTCTGCTTCAATCAATGCTTTTTATTTTATTTTTTTTAATTCATCTACGACTATTAATTAGCATTCCATGCCAGAAGTAACTACCGACTTTTTTTTAAAGCCAGCAACAAACGCAATTAAAGCCTTGATTTACACATTTGTTTTGCAAGTGTGTCAGACATTTGCTGCGTTATTTATGGCCAATTTTTCTACATTTCCTTCCCCATACTCGATATGTACACATGTATGTATTGCTTCCATTTGATATCTTCCACTACTTTTTGTTTGCCTTTCAGCGGCCAGTAGCATTTCTCTGCTGTTGGTAGTTTTGTGTTGCTGTTGCCTAACAGTATAGTACAGTAGACTACAGCCGTCAACAAATACATACGTACATACATATCTTGTGAGTGTTGTACTTCGATCGACTGTTGGTGGTAGGCTTCAGATTGTATGGTTTGTATGGAATTGCTGCATTTCCGGTTGCTTTTTGTTGGTACAGCAAAAAGGAAACTACAAACAAATACAGGGGAGTATGCTTGGCTGACCACTGAATATGCATTCATATATACATATGTATATATACATATTTTTTAAATAGCTCAGATTTTTCTGAACACAAAATTTCAAAAATGCGTTTTTTCGGAAATTCTTTTAAGTCAATTTTCCTTGCTTTCTATAAATATTGACAGACTTAAAAATCTGTAGCTATAGCTGATAGTTCAAATAGTTCTACTACCCACTAAATACTTCTACTTGATTAAGGCTAAAATTCGATGCTTACAATTTCTAACAACGCAACTTTGGCGACACATCGATGCCAGCTTCATCGGATTTAGCGTGACTCTCAGAAATTTTTCATTGATGAGAATTTTTCGGAGGAATATTCAGAACATCAATTTATTGTTGTTGCCCCCCAAAATTGGCATCTCTAAGCTTCATAAGTATTATCTGACTTCCCCCTCTAAGAGGGAGTCATGCGCTCTTTTTCTATCGAGCCTGCGAAGTGCAGCTGGTATTGTAGAGCCTCTCAATTAACTATTGCTGGTATGTACGTAAATTTGCCATCTTGCTTCCTTAGGAGCCCTAGCCCAGTGGCTGGTTTCCTGAATTAAACTATGCCTTAGCTAATCTATAGAATTTCAGGTAGAAAAGTCTTGAGTTCTGCTATTAAATAATGAAGTGCAGACATATGGTATTTGACAAAATAGATTTTAGCCGAATTTCGATCAATTTTATTTAATTAAGACGTGTGTCAACTGCACCCAGAATGAACGAACATCGTGATATATGGGCATTAGGGTGTTCCAAAAACAGTAAAGTCGGAATTGCAATGCTCTTACCCCTAAGATTGTTCTATATTCAAAAAAAAGTATACCCCTATTTTTTATTTTGAAATCAAAAAATATTTAGAGGTCGCTCGAAGCGCTCAAAGTTTTCCATGTATTTTTATATGAGAAAAATACAATTTTTCAAAGAAATAGTGTAGAATTCTTGAAAATCATTATTTTACGATCGGATCTGGATCTTTTCAAGATACATTCAATAATAATACCCAATTGTATATTTAACCATTTTTTAATACTAACGATTTTTTATCGATCGCCCCATTGCATTTTTCGGCGTTTTTGTGGGTTTTTGGTAGACCTATAAATTATAGTAGTGAAGCACTCGAATGTTCATGCATACATACCAGTGTTGTTGCGCATATTCGCATTCGAATTCGCAGCCGCGGAGCTTCCGCATTAATTTTAACATTCGCATTCGCAATAATCAATGCGGAGCTTTTGCGAATGCGAATATTTTGCAAGTGGACCGATAAAACGTATATTTGTAAAAAAAAATTACATATTGTAGCCAATATTTTTGCCTGTGGTCGTAGGAGTATTTATAACAAAACTGGTCAAATGTCATATTTATCAACTTTGATAAAATTATCTTTAAAATATTAATTCTTAAGCTATATAACCGAGTTATCAATGGGCAGCCATAAAAGTTCCCTTTTTTCTGTGCTTTAAATACCTGCTTTGGCTTCTTTCTTTATTATGAATTTTTTTGACCAATCTTAGAATAACTACTAGACACAAAAGAAGAAAGTGTGCACTGTAATTCTTAACAAAATTTTCGTGATTTGCTTTTGATGTTATAGGCGGCATACACGGTGCGTCTGACTCGTGAGTCGATTTGGATGTGTTAGTTGGTTACACCGACATGACTCTGGCATGACTCTGAATCATTCGACTGTGTGTAGTCGAAGGCGAGTCAATACGTACACAAATGACTCGCGAGTCAGACGTACCGCGTATGCCACCTATTTCATTTATTCGTTTGAATAATTTCAAATGGCGCTCTTTGGGGAATTTAGTTTTAGCAAAAATTAAAAAAACCGTAGTTTTATTTACTTGTTGGATAATATTTTTTTCATACGGATATATGTACATAAGCGTGGGCCGAAAATCCGCTTTTTTAGAATTTTGATTGGTAATAGCAAAAATATGGTTAATTGTGCTTTAAAAAAAATCTGTGAAATTTGGAATTTTTTGGTCAATATCCTAGGCTCGCCCAAGTCCATCGAAGTTCAATATGGTTAAAAAAATAAAAATTAATAAATAAATTAAGTAATAAGTTTTTGACTAAAATTGTAATAATCTTCGAAAGTATTAGTCCTACATAATTTGGTATATGGACCTTTTTTTTGTAGAGAATCGAAGTTAGCTAAGAAAAAAATTTCTTCTATTAAAAATGAATTACAAAAACTAAAATCGAAAAGTGCAGATAAAGTTCAGGTTCTGCAAATTCTGAAACAACAAGACATATTTATCTGGTTTGGCTTGTAAGCGCTGTTTAAACAACGATCTCACCATTATGCTAGATTCGAATTGTTTTTTAAAAATACTTGACATCCGCATTCGCATTCGCATCCGCGGAAGTTAGCTGTTAGATATTCGCATCCGCATTCGCATCCGCGGATGTCTAAAATTCCACATCCGCAACATCCCTAATACATACATATGTATGAGGTAGGTATGTATGTACGAAATGGTAGTATGTAGTACATATGTATGCACGCTTACATGCTCGCTAGTCAATGCATTACGTAGATGCTTATGTTTTTTTTTTTGTAACTAAGCATACTGACACTTCTGTGGCAACGGTGTTGATTTATTTCTTCAACAAAGGGACCACAAGTGCGCCCAGGTGAAAGTTGGTCCTTGCTGCTTTGTATTCATGCACTTCAACTTTAACCATAGCATGCCGACACACATTATGCAGCACGTCGCAGCGCAGCGCAGCACAGCAATTTCTTGGCATCGATGTATTCATGATTTTCAGTTTTTTTTTGCTTCGCGAGACCCTTTCAGCTCGACGCTACTTTTTATCCCTGTCATTATTCGAGTTTCTATCATCCTCCTGAGGATATGCGTGTAACTTGCATTCATACCTGTACAGCTAGATACGTAGTGTATGTATGCAGATATAGCCACACCGCTAGGGAGACGGGGGTTTTTTACACAATTTTTGCCACTGGCAATTTGCAATCAAGCGTTGTAGCTGGCAGCATTCTGTAAAATTTTGTTTGTATGCTGAAAGAATCCTTTTGTCTCATTGTTGTGGTTTAAGTTGATTATGGTATGAAATGGTAAGTAAGTATTCTGGAGGTACATACATACATACATACTTAAGTGCAAGTGTGGACTTTGGTGCTTTTGGAGCTTTTGTGCTCGCAATTACACTAATTAATTTGATGGCGAGGACAATGAGCTTCCTTCTGTATTTGCGAAACTAGGTTGACGTTTGCAAAAAAGTGTTGAGTGTGAAATTATAATAATTAAAAATATTGTTGGCTGCTGATGTGCCCCATTCATTGTACATATGCACGTATAAAGATACATACATATGTACACAGCATACAGGGCAATGGCCTAGTGAAGAAATACTTTTTGAAAGTTTTGTTCTTTGTTTAATTTCTAAGTGAGGTTTTTACAGGGGAAAAACCAATCTTGTGTTTACAAATTTTTATCGTTAAAGAATTTGAAATTTGTTTCAATTTATTCAATGTTAGATACTTACATATGAGGTCCATTCAATATCAAAAAAATGTTACGAATTGTTACTAGTACTTGCAAGTTTTTACTGGAAATGCATTCAATAACCCAAAAAATTTGAAAGAGAGAGAGCGAACTCGAGAGCTGCAAAATAGTGCAAGCAAAAATTTTACTAGCAGGAATTTGCAGCAGCCAAAAAGTAAGGTTATGTTTCAAATTCAAATGTAAATAAAGTGTGATTTGATGAAACATAAAATGAAAATATGGATGAACAATTTAAATCTATTTAATGTATATTTTTTTTGTTCGTATGATGATGGAAACTATTACCAATTAGAAAGAAAATTGCGCGCCAAAACTTAAGCGTCAGAAAGTGTCAAAATGGCGTAAGTTGCAAGTTTTTACTAGTTTTGTGTTTAATAACTTTTTCTGAAAAATTTGTCTTGCTCTCAATTTTACTCTCCATTTTCCTTTTACGCGCTCGTTGCAGTTTTTATTTGTTGACTGGACCTATCATTTGTTTACGCGTTTCCTCCACAGAGATAAAACTATTAGACCAAACAGTAGCCTTCTTCAAGTGCAAACATAGAGACGCCTCGTAGACAACTACAAAGCAGCTCATTCGATTTGGTAGGATAAACGCATACTCGATAAAACAAAAATTTTGCCCACAAAAAGTGTGCTCCTGCTCCGTTGGTCGTCTCATACACAGGACATTATAGCGGTTGTCCCTCGTGATATCAAGGGATTTTGTACACCGCGAGCAAATCACAAGCTTACGAAAATGGCTAACATCCATCTCGGTGCGTTCTTCAGCGTTGGTGGTACGGTAATTCAATCTCAGTCACCACATATTCATCTATGCAAGCCGCGGCAGTAAAAACCAGCAGTAAGTTTACTGTTTATTTCATCGCAACAAGATTTCTGGAGACATGAACTTGATGTCCATGGAAAACACATCCGCAGACGATAAACTGACTTTACTTGACTTCGCTGATTGTTCGGTAGATTTTTTCAGAGGTTGCGATCTCCAAGTAAACAGCGATTTCGGCAATCTCTCATCCACTATTTCATTTACTTGCCCTTATCGCCTGGAACCCTATAGTATACAGCCGTATGCATAGAAAAAGTTTCCCTGAATCTTAGAACTGTCTTGAGCCCATTGAGATATGCCTTGATTGCTTTTATCGCTGCTTAATTACCAGCATACATACATGTACATGCATACATATATACATACGAATGTGTTAATAACTAAAGAGGCCGCCTTCAGAGTCGATGAGGGCGAATTCTGCGACATCTTTGCCTAAAATACGCCGCAGTTTTAATATCCCCAAACCCTTTCAGGGGGCTTCAGATCCCAATCCGGCCAATATTTTTCAACCATCCGTGTAGATAATAAAGGTTCTGTGGGCTTGTTTTTAAATTGGCAAAAAAAAAAATTATTTGAAAAAATTTTATTAAATATTTCAATCCAGTCGATCTTATATGCACCTAATTCGATATTTGTTTTTCCTTTTTTCCTTTCAAAATTTCCGAAGTCCGCAGAGTCTAATCTAATGTTGGAAGCAGGAACCCATTAAAGTTACGCCTAAATGAAGCCAAATATTGCCATGAAATGTCCATATATTTGGTGCACTCTGAGGACCCAGCAATGTTTAACGCAATGGGAGTTCCACACGTTTTATGGAGAGCATTTTTACAAAAAAAAAAAACTGACATTGTTCCTTCATGCAATTACAACAATTGAGACTTTGGCCTTTACACATAGAGGAATGTTATTATGAATTGGATGATACTCCACAAGCAAAGCAGCTTGTAAACAGAAGCGATTCGGCTTATAAAGTTCTCTAATATGTATGTATATATGTATATAAAATTGTGCTTTAAGACGTAAAGTTCAATCAGGCATTAACGAGAGTGTTGTATTTATGTAAATACTCTTCCAAAATTAGCGCAGAAGCAAGCCATCTTCTTCAGCAACTTCTTCTACGTTTCATTTTGCCTTTTACGTATCCTTTTTACGATGCAGAATCAGCTAGTTAATTTACATTACGATTATCCTCACTTCACATACTTAACTAACTGTCAGCTAATTTGCTTATTTTAATCTTTTGATTACCTTGCTACTTGCACTACACGTAGCAACAACAATGTTAAACAACTTCGGTAATACTCACTTGTAGATGTGTCAATCCAACAACATTATCGGTTATCAATTTAAGCCATTGACTGAGAATGGCCAAATCATCACAGTGTATTATGCCAGTCGAGGCGCCATTAAGGCCGCGTACTTCAAACGCATTGGGGCGTAACTTATCCGTGCCATAGATATATCGCGTTACGTAGGCCATCATCAGCGGCACTGTGGCGTGAAAGAAGTTCAATCCCAAGTCACATGATGATGATGAAGTTACAGAGTAGCAACGGTAAATGAAAATGTCAAGTGCAGCAAAGGGTAACCCGACCCGGCCAGGTATCGCAGCATATCAACAAAAGAAATTTGAGAGGTGCGAAAGATGGAAGAGAAGAAGAGAACAAATTTAATTAAAAACGCAATGAAAGCAAATTACAAATACAAATAAAGCTGAGCAAATAATTAAGAGTTCGTAATTGCAAATTGCCGACCGAGAGTGCCAACTGCAAATTGCAGTTTTTCTCGCAGCACGCAGATAATTTAATGCACGTGCGAGTGTTTTTACGGCAGCGCAAGCACGCACTCTTTAACTAATTCACTCACGTATGCGATATAATAATGAATACCACAGTATTTGATGTGAATAAATAAAGCGAACATGTGCATACATATAGACATGCAGGTACTAGTATAAGTATGGATAAATATTTTTTGTGCATGAACATACCTGCCACCACCTCTACCCATTTCTTCTCCGGTTCGGAGCCGGAGCAAATTGACATCGGACGACTGCAGCTGCGACTTATTGTGCCATTATTTACCGAGGACTTGTAGCCTTCGTCAGCCTTTAATTCCGCACATGTTGCATCATTGTCCGAATCGGGCGTCTCCTTGGCAACTGCAATGTGAGCAACACCAGCAACGAATGCATTAAGGTATGCAATTATTTGTACATATGTATGTATGTATGTATCTATGTAAATGTATGTGAAAGTAGTAGAATACACGCAAGGCAACAGCAGGGTTGGGGGGGGGGCGGGAAAGGAGAAAAAGGTAAAAAATGTGTAAAGCAAGCAAACTTGGAGTTAATAAAAAAAAAATAACATAATAGAAAGCAAAGTCTGCATGGATGTGCAACTCTCTTTGTAATGTAAATGTACTTTGAAGTATTTGCGTGCAGGGAAAATCACACAATCACCGGACAGACACACATATGTTACTATCATGTTTTTGTTTGTAAGGACATTTTCCTGTGCGGAATAAGTGAGTTGTCGGTTGAGAGAGTAAATGTAATGTGACAGTTGAAAAACACGAGATACAACTGCAAGGATCCGCATAACAGCCCTACAAGAAAATTTGACGCCACATTCCAAGGGGTACTTTGAAAAGTTATTAGAAAAAAGGAAAGAGTCAGCAAACAGCATTAATAATATTATTATATTTTTGGCGCAAAAAAGAATTATTAAAACTCAACGCGATTTTCTAGCGTCTTAAAGTTTGCACTTTGACCTACTAAAATTTAATGGGCTACAAAGCTGCTTATCCAAAATTTTTCTAAAGTTTTCGGGTGCATATGTTAAAGTTTGTTGAATTTTCATAATTTTTGTACGAAGTTTGAAAAGAGGATTTATAAATGGGGCACTATGTATGAAAGAAAATTAGCATTTCAACAAATTCAACATATGTGTTATGGATTCAACTTAACCAATTAATAACGTTGTTCAATCTGGCAGCACAATCATTCTTTCATTTTATCTCCATACTTCTTACTCTTAGAAGCTTAAATATCTAATTCACTTTAACTGTGCTGTGAATATGAATTGTGTTTTTAGTTCAATTTCAATACGGTTAAGCTCTGTCTATGTACCGATGTATATGTGCACCTAGATCATGTGACCTGTTTTTTAGTTTTTTACATAGCATCTTCGGTGGCGCGCGGTCTTAAGAAAAGTTTGCGAATATATTGTAATTTACCATATGTACTACATTAAAATAAACATTTCATTTATGCAGCTTTAGTTGATATTCGATCATAATAAATAAATTCCATAAGTTTAAGATGTAATTTTCGCACTCCACCTCTTGTAATTTGTTAGTTTTTGCCTTAGGAATGCACATACGTTGCACTTTTCTACTCGGAAAGCTGTCCACTGCATTCAAGAGCAAAATGTTCTTAATTTCTGCACACGTTCTTAATAGCCAAATATGCAGAAGCTGACATGAGTATAAAACATATGTATGGATGTAGGTATGTACATTAGACCAAATCTGAAAAAAGGTCTTCTACCCCTGAGTCTAAATTATTTTTGCAGGACGGAAAATACCCCGTCTAGTACTTCCCCACCAGTTCTCAGCTCCTATCACACTAACGTACCACCCTAATGTCACCAAAAACAATCATTAAACTTTTACTAAGGAAGTATTTCGATTATTCTTGTAGACCTATCAAAAAAATCAAATTTGGTTATCGATTGACGGTGTCACCGAAGAATCTGAAAGGGCGACCTCTATATTCGGCAAAAAAAATCGAAACTGCCTTACGAAATTCTCTAGACTTTTTGTTTTCGTGTAAGCTGGTAAGCCTAATGTACATACATACATACATAAATAGATACACGCTTATACAATTGCCAGTACGTATGGTCGAGTAAGTGAACATTAAAGAAGAAGTGTGCAAGCGTTAAACTGGAAAATGAAAGTTTATTTGCGAGTGAAAATGGGAAAATATTTTGTTAGTGTCAACAGTTTTTTCGGGCTTGATTTTTAAAAGGAGGTAGAAAACGAACCAAAATCGTTCCAACAGTTTTCGTACTCGTAAACATTATTTTCTTGAATTTTTGCACATTTCAGAGTAGGACACATACATACATACATATGTACATAAGCACCTACAAACTATACACACATATGTATGCGTATATATGTATGCCTGTGTGCTTAATGAAAATTTAATACTTTAAGTTTGTTTACACGAAATTTGGTCTGCCCAGCACTTTTCATGAAGTGGACACGAAAAGTAAAAAAAAATAATTTTTTTTGTCTTTAAACATGAACGACACGACGCAAGGGATATAAAACTTAAAGGCGCCTAAAACAGCGTAGTAAACAATTTCAAGTAGTTAAGACGCTCAAACATACACGACTTATTTATATGTATATGTACTTAACAAACAAACAAACACAAACGAGGCAGCACATACATAAACACACATTTCTTTTTTTTTTGTTTGTTCCAGCGTACGAAACGTACGAGTGTGTATTTTTATGTATACCCTGCAAAAAATTTTGCGACTAATCTCTAAAGAGAGTATTCCGAGATTACTCCCAATCGGGTACAACTAGTCTCATATGGGGTATAATCAGAGATCAATTAGTCCATCCCTTACCGGAATAATTGGAGATAACTTAGTCCCCGACTCATCTCTATCGGGTACTTTTAACGATTTAGTGATATGTACGCACTTAGTCAACAAAATTTCTTGTGCGGCGTTGGCACACAGAGAGAAAGAGTATTCGCTTAACGAAACTGAGCACCCCGGTTCTAATCTCAGCTGACGCAAATTTTTATTTTCATTTTTTAAAAGTGGCTAGTCGCTTTTTGTAGCCGTTCGGGTATAAAGCGGAACAATTAGTCTCTTCATAGGACAAGCTCGAACAAAAGCGATTAGTTCATTCCATATAAAGAGATCAAAAGTGGTATCAGTCGCATGTCCCGGATTGGTCACATTTTTTGCAGGGTATAAATACATATATGTATAGCTATATGTTTATATGTGTTTGTTTATAAAAGTGGGCCAAAAGGTGAAGTGAGTGAGGCCGCCTCGATTGCTGTTGTTGTATGGCCTTTGCCCGGAGGCTTACTAGTTGTAGAATTTTTAAAATACTCGTGGAAAGTGGAAAGCTTTGTGTGCGTATATGTATGCATAGGCTTAACATACATATATACTTAGTCAATTAAGATATGTGCGCTCTTTGTACTTGCTTAAGTTTATATAAAATTCAAAGAAAAAAATCTTTAATTTACTACGTCTTTCTTTTTGTTTTGTCTTAGGAGTGTTTAATGTTTAAGGATGATGTATGTAGCGCCCTGGAGGTTAGTTGTTTAACATATAATTCGGCGAGTTATTTATGACATATTACTAGCATAATTAAAGCTTTAAATTTACTTATATTTGAATAAGTTTGTAACTCCTGAAAGGACAGAAATCCAAAATTTGGAACAAATTGGGAACATGTAACAAGGCACAACCTAGGGTTCTCCTCGGTCATTAAGGCACACAAATAATACGAAATCTTTTAATAAGGAACCAATACTTCTTGTTCGTATTTGGAATTTAGCTTTGCTTTAAACACGCAAAATGTTGTATTTAAACATTTGCGAAATACTTGAAAAAGTGGTTAAAAGAAGTTTATCCCTCTGTTGTAAAATTTGTAAAAATGGACCTAGGAACTTTTCACTTTAAGTTAGCGATATGTTAACAACGAATTGCCGATTTTATATACACATATGTTTTACAGAGTATTGTTAAAAATCAATATTCAATATTGCCATACACTTTCCAGCTCTTTAAAGTTCGTAAAAAATGACGGAAACTATCTTTGATTCTCAGTCCCAATTTTTATATATAATACTTAGCGGACTATTTTATTACCTTTGTAAACAGTCAGACCATTGCAATGGGCCCAACATCCTCCCATACACGATAAAGGTACGAAATTTGGGCATTAAGTTATGTTACTCATACGTCACGTATCCCCGAGTTTGACAAACTTAAAAGGAAAACACTAACTGATCGGAGCCGAGAATAAAGCAGATCAATGTGAGAATATCACTTTTCAAGTGTCTTTCAAGTCTGATTCGCACTGAAATGGAATACATATATTATTCAGTAGCTTTTCATATAACGGGTGGTTGTTAGTTATTTTAAGCAAAATTGTTCTTTTGGATCAATAGAGAAATCACCAAATTCATTTGTTTTACCTTTATGGACAAGCCAATTTCTGAAATATTTATATTTGATTAGCCGATCGGAATCTGCTTTACTATTGGCTCAGCTTTCAACGTTCACTCTGCGGGGGCTTTTAGCCGCGTCGACGTAATAATCCTCACCGGTTATATGTCAGAAATTGCAATGCCATCTTGGTAAGATGGAATTCTCTGCGGAGATAAACTGAAGACTTTGCGGGCTGGATCGGATTGCCCACGTGTTATTCGTAAAGAAGTGTTAGACACTTTCGTGGACGACTATCGAATACGTATGAAATTTGGAATATAAAACTCATAAATAATCTAAGGCTGGAGCGATCCTTTAAATAATATCGCCATCGTCATACTATCCAAGAGCCTACTCACTGCTCAAATATAGTTTTAAACTTTAGAATAAATGTGTTGGCTTTAAACTTGTAACTTAACTTAATATACACAAACTCAAAGGAGTCGATAGCTTAAAGCACCCAAACGCAAAAAACAAGGGCGTGTAAAATGAAAAAAAAGAAATGCTCTATGAATTTATTCACTAGGTATTTATATACGAGTACTTGTATGTACTTCGTAGTAAGCGAGCAGTCGTTAGTGATGAAAAAAGGCAAGCACTTCATGATTATTTTTATGAATTGTGTATGTAACATAGTTCGTAATTAATTTTAATTAAAATGTAAATGTGTAAGTGAGTAAGTGAGAATCCGGGGGTAAGTGCTCTAAAACCTTCATGTGCTTGTATGTACATACATATATACCACCGCATATGTTTGCATTAACATACATATGTACATAGATGTATGTTTTAAAAGGTATACTTAAATATGTATGTACGCACGCATGAATTGTGTGTGTTAACTCAAAAGCACATTGGCATACGCGTGCCAATTGTGCGCCACTTCTGCTCTGAACTTTGTTTTTGAAAGAAACTTTCCAACTTAATGAACACAAGTTTTGCTTCACTTAAAACAGCAACCGCCAAAATAATGAACTGCATATTTTTTTTTTGCTAAATGTAATGAGTACAATTAAAAAAATAAGTGCAATATGAACTTAAAAAAAAATACTTTAACTTTTGATTGTCTTTAAGCACCCTTTCAATAGTTGTATTAAAGCGATTACAAATTAAGCGGGAAGTAGCGGAAAAAAATTAAAGCAAAAGCAGGTGGAAGGGTTTAACCAAATAAAAATATACACACTTACATATGCACCTATATATACAAGATTTTGAAATATAGACTAACTTTCAAATGAAATAAAATTAAGAAAAGGGGTGTACAGAAGAGGGTATCAAATTGTTCAAGAGAGAGAATAAGGCTGGGCTTCACTAGATTCATTCAAGTGGAAATTAATTTTAATTTAATTTTTTATTAAATTCTCTATTATTTTTTCAGTTTCAATAAGCTTTTTTTTTTGGAGTAAGTAAAAATATGGCAGCGTCGTGCTAAAAGTGATATTAAGAGCAGGTCTGGTATAAAGGTGAATATCCAATACTGTGGTTTGTGTATATTGATCAGCTGATTATACATATAACATCTCCGAGTATGGTTATTCTGATTTAATTTTTATTTAAGTGAACAGCATAGGTCACTTAAATCAAAACCAAAATCAAATTAAAATTGATTGGCGAAAACAAAAAATCCGAAAACTAAAATAATTCATTCCCCGGTGAAACGCAGCCTTAGTGTATGTATTTAGTAAACTTAAACAAATTTTTCTTAAATCATTGTAATGCATACTTACGTTGCTTCTGCAGGAATGGCGTCGCCGCACGGTAATGCTTCACCGTCAGTACCACTATATCGCCAGCATTGCGCAATATGTTCACCGCATCGTCATGCGGACAGGCTGTGATGTATTCGCCATTTACCTTAATTATCGCATCGCCAACAAACAGTTGGCCGGTAATGTCCGCCGCTTGGTCCTTGTAGATGCGCGATATTAAAATAGGCAATTTGTGCTCGGCACCGCCTTTTATGCTCAAACCAAGGCCGCCTTGCTTTTGACGGGTAATCTGCACCATGCGCTCCTAAAGCCGTATAGGCAAATAAAATGAAGAAGCAGGGATGAAATATTAATAAATGCCAAGTAACGCTAAAGACGTTTTTATCCCTACTTAAAGCGAGGGAAATACGGTAATGGCAAAATTTACCGTTCTTAAATAATTAAGTAGATGTGTTCAATCTAAATTACCTAAATAATTTAAAATTGAGTGAACCTACACGAAATCCATTAACCAAATTAAATTTTTGTTTTACATATGCTTTAAAACACAAATATTCTAACTGTCTATCGACATAAATTTATTTATTACGTAAATGCACTTTAAATGGCTTATTGTCAAGGTTTAGTTGATTTGTAAAAAAAGCGAAGTATGTGAATTTACGACTAGTTTTGCAGTCATGAGAGCATACATTAATTTTTACTATTTGCAACAAAAAACACATTTCCTCAGTTATCTTTGTTGCATGCCGTTGCCTTTGTCAAACTTGTTTGTACTCGTTTTCCCTCAAGGGCATTGTCATGTTCTACATGCAATCGAATATTTAATTATATTTAATATCACTGTTATCTTTGAGCTATTTTGAGTGTTTTTCCAGCAGACAGTTACATGAAATATGAATACGCATGTCTACATACATACATGCATACATCTTGTGTGTGTGTGTGTAGGTACGTTTAGAGTGGATGCACGAAATATTAAATTTTGCATTGCGCTCAGCTACTCAGCTACATCAACTATGATAAATCCCTTTGGGCACTTTCGCAGTAGTTGGATAGAAATAGTATTAAACTAGTTTCAAGTTAGAAGCACAACGCTTCTCATTTGTTTTATTAAAGCTAACTTAAATTGTGCTTTCGCCTGCCAAATAATTGTTAACTTGGCAAAGTTTTTTCATTTTAGTGCAATTTAATGGGCGGAATGGCAGCATTAATTTCACTTACCTTTGACTCCATTGGTGGTCCATTGTGTTGGGGATTTGTTGGTGTAACTACCTCTAATCTTTGTAAGGTTACTAGTTCCATAGTTAAATTCAGTCTAAGTGGTTCTGGTTTGCATTTGCCATCGCTGACATTTACCATACCAGTACGGATCTGCAAAAAAAAGAAGAAATTTGTATGACAATAAGGTGTAAACACTATTCGCATTACTAATCAAAAGACGCGTTTGGGAATTACATATGTATGTGTGTAAGCTCTAAACTTTAGATTGTAGAAATCAGATAAGACATACATACATAAATAGGTAGAGAGAAGGAAAGCGGCAACTTTGTGATCATAGCGAGGGCTAAACTACATAAATATAATAAATAAATAAATACTAATTGCGCTTCAAGCATCTTCATCCACTCTAACCACTCGACCACGACGTTTATCTTTTTCTAGGCAATATATATGGAAATATTTTAAATAGCCCTAATATCAGTTTAATCACTAGTTTCCTAACCCCTTACAATTGTCTGATCTCTCATGAGAACAATGATACGTCCAAGCAGAGAGGTTTATGCGAATCAGCTGCAGTGATAGCCCCTGACCAGATATCGATCTGGGTCTTTCCAGTTACGTATGTGGAGCCGATTCTCGAAACTTTTAAAATTTTAACTTTTGCTAGTTTTTCCTGACCCTGAAATATTTCCTGAGTGTATGAAATGTTTAACAATTTCAGTGAATTGGAAAGGCCACGCCCTCATTTCCAATAGCCGCCACTTTGCTCCAAGAGCATGGGATTGACTTCGGATACCTCCATATCAAGTTTCAGTACTCTCCCATGAAAAATTCAGTTTCTATGGAAGGTGCCAAACCCCTTGATATATAGAAATTATTTTTAGCCTTGGTTAGTTTGGTCCTTCATTAAAATTTGTATAGTGTAAAGAAGCTTGATGGAGCATATCAGGAGCTATTTGTTGAAACTTACAACAAGATTATAAAGATGGAGATTATTGAAAACCGAAACATTTTTATGAGTGGCATATTTTTTTCTCTGATTGCGATGGAATTTTTAGGAAAGTTTTTTTTTTGTAAAAAACAAAAATCGGATTCCCCGCACCAAAAAAAATCTTGAATACGAATTTTCAGAGCAGTCGAAAATCGTAAAATTTTACAAACCGGTCCCGCATAAAAACTTGAATTTGATATTACTCGATTAAATGACCTAACCTAGAAAAATGACCATCACCACTTTATTCAGCGTACCCAAATTGACTTTACTACTTAGGTCTTCGGCTTGTTCAAAATAAAAAAAATTTAATTTTCAAAGGGAATTTGTTGTCGAAGATGAAATTAAATTTCATTTGTAATTCAAGCTACATAAAATTTGATTCGTAGTTGAATTGAAAGCGTGATTTGGCTACCGCCAATATCCCCAATCTTGGATCCGGTAATTATTAGGAGACTGCAGATTTTTATGCAGAAAACGGAGCCTAAAAATATGTACCACTTAACTTTAAACAAAATGTATACAAATTTATACACTAGGCTCCATATTTTCCATAAAAATCCGCAGTCTATATATTAGGTATTAATAAATGAAATAAATTGTGTGCATATTATATAAAAACAAAAATACTGAACAGAACTTACCTTTAAATTTTGATCAACCTTTTCCTCAATAGGGGTTGCCATTTTTGCATTGATCTTCATATTTCCTGCAATTGAAAAAATAATATTTATTGAAGATAAAATTTTAAGTTTTGTGCAAAAATTATTTTAATATACTTTTTAAAGCGCTGTACTGAGTTCAGCCTTAATTTAGCACGCAATTCCTCTGACTTGTAGGTATTGATGACATTGAAAATAACTACAATCATTGACTGGCCGTTAAACTATTTGAACTCATTCTATAAATGCCAATTAAAAAATCAATAAATGCAACTTTTTCCACCGCATGCGAAGCACAATGGACTTACATACATATATATAGACAAACGTATGTAGGATGTATAAAATACTTTTAAATAGCTTCATTGCAACAAAACTTACACCAACAATACGGCAAGAGCTTAGCAACACTAATCGCCAAGCACCGACAATTAATTAAACAGACTTAGCGAAACGCCCGCCAACAACCAGCAAACGATAAATGCTGGCAACAACCAACTCAGTGACAGTCACTAACTCAGTCAGTCAGTTAAACGAGCATGATAGAACAAAAACGCATGATAAATAGATTAGTCTATCATTCAGCCAGCGACGAGTCACTGCTGTGGCTAAAACACACCACTAAATAATTGTTGCTTACTCGACGCTTTTTAAGCTGCGAGCACTGGTGCATGAATGCGCCCATTGTGTTGGTGGGTGTCAAGCCCTCTTGCTTAAATAGTTAGCGAACTTCAAGCAACCTGCCGAGTTTTGTGGCTGAATCATCGAAGCCGGCAACGACGAAAGCGACCTAGCCAAATTGGTTAAATAATGGTTTAAGAAGCGCGAACAATAACAAAAACAATAGGACAGAAAGCTAAGCAACAAAATGACGGCAGAAAATAACATTGCGAAAACAAAAAAAAAAGAAAAGAAAACAAATCAAACTAAAGCTAAAATGTAAGAGTAAACACTAACTGACGGTGCGTATACGCCCTGTAGATTGTGGCTGGCTGGCACACCTCAGTGTGTGGCGGTGCCAGAAACGTTGCGTTTGCTTGTAGTACTTACTCGTACATACATACGCATGTGTGTACGTAGTTGGCAGTTGAATATTTCGAGCAGTGCGAAAAATCAATTAATTTTATATAAGCAAAACACTGTTGAAGCACAACGAAATCAGATCAGATCGCTTGCAACCTAATTGTTGAGGCGTTAAGCGGTGGCTCACGGCAATGCGCACCAATGTGCTCAAGTAGTTGGCAAGTAATGCGTGCCAATAAATTTGAACAGGCCTCGGCTGCGATTGGGGATAGAAAGGCAAGCATCTGAAGCCTCTGCGGGCTTAAACATATACATATGTATGTACAAAATGTTAAATGCGAATTGCTAGACAACAGTAAAAAGGTTTGTTTCCGGAAATTTAAATATTTTACTAAAGTGGGATTTGCACAATATTGAAATTGCAAGGAATTTTGGCCCTAAAAACGTTTGCCGGTTTGGGCTGAGAACAAAAAAATCTCATACAATTTTTCTCTCCTTTCCGAAGATGCGCCAAATGTTCAGCCCAGCCGTTTATTTTGTTAGTGGATATACTTTCCTTCATTACCATGAATACCGAGTCGAAGCGTCTTCGTTGAATGTTTATGCGCTTAGCTATGTCCATGTCTTCGAAAAGTTCGTTAGTCCATCTTCTTCGGTACCCGTCGCCACTATGGACCATAGATCTTGCATAGAATGAGTAGTTTTCTCGAAAGCCAGCAAAACCTTCTCATATTTGTGCGACCTCGTCCACGTGTCTGCGCCATATGAAATGACGGGTGACAGAGAGATTTGTAGAGCGTGGTTCTTTTTCATCGAGAGAGTTCTCTGCTGTTCAACTGCCTGTCGAGTCAAAATTAGCACCTGTTGGCAAGGGTTAAGTATTCTTCGCTTGATCTTTTAGCTGACACTATTGGTGGTGTTAGTGATGGTTGCTAGGTAGTCAAAATACTTTACTACTTCAAAGTTATAACTACCAACACTGTCGTGTGTCATAGATATGGGATAAAAAGCCATTAAGGGCACTCACCCTGCAATTCCAATCGAAATGTAATACTAGTCGGGAGCAAAATTCGATTGGCACATAAACTCGTACTCGAACTCTGTAGTTCACTTGCACTAACTTTTCGGTAATATTCAGAAATGGTGAGTAATGGTGCATTTACATGGTATGAATCTGTTCATAAGCCGTATGAATTTTCCTATAAAAGAAGCACCAACTCTATGAAGAAATGAATGAAAGCGATATATATTTAACAATTTTGACTTGTATACTAGACAATATTTTTTTTGTAAACAACAAATAAAAAAAATTTATTTTGTGCTAGCTTCGAAACTAGAAGCTTATTTTTTTGTTAAATGTGCTTTAAAAAGGACCTACTGCCAATAAAGCCTTGTGGATTGCTATTTTTCCATATTTGTAATGCTTCCATTTAAACATCTTTGTGGAAAAACAGTTTTTTGTTCAGAATTGCTTGTTTACGAAACGTTTGGCATAAGTTGAAATCATAGGGATGCCGTTTTCTTCCGTTTCTCAGTGGATTTTATACTTGAATGGGCACCAAAATATGTATGCAATACTTCTACATATCTTCGTTTAAAGCACAAAACCGCGCATAAAGGAAATGCAAAACCTCGTATGGGAGGTTGCCTAAATTTTAAAAACGGTTCTATCTTTTAAACTTAACAATCTTCTCTCCTTATGTCTAAGTCGATATTTTATTATATCGATATTTTATTATAAATGGCTAAGGGCTTGATGTCAGGAGCTTCCGATGACCAAATATCTTTTTTGGCACAAATTTCAGTTCCGAGGTTTTGCAGAACCACGATACGCGCTTTTGTACTTTAAACGACGAATATGTATATCGCTTGAACAATATGTTAGTGTTTGGCCTAGCTTCTCCTCCGATATGCGGCGTGCGTGATTTTGTCACACAAAGTAAAGGACAGTTTTACGCCGACTCCGAACGGCAATTGTATTTTAATGAGAAGTTGTTTCCATGACAGAATACACTCGGAGGTTTACTATTACCAACAGAGGGGCAACCACTATTAGAAAAACTAGGCTTGAACGCAGGCTCTGCGTAATGCTCTAAAGCAGCCGCCACTACTTTTACATATATTGCTGGTATATTCAAAATACTATCCCGAACTTCGGAGTGTATATATGTAATATAAAAAAGAATGAGAGGTACTATAAGAAAATGTACCCAAAATTCTGGAGCAAATGAAAAAATGCTCATTGAAAATAGTTCACATGTATAAATTAAAAGATATAACTTAATAGGTTACAGCGCTAAACAAAAGGAAAAGTTAGAAAAAATAGCAATGCGGTTTGAAGGAAACATGAAGCCATAAAATGCTTGTTTGTTTCGTTAATACTCTGAACTTTGTAAGATATGGCACTCTATTATTTGCAGTAGTTTGCAAATATTCACTAATGGTTCTAAAATCGCAAACATTTTCGTGGGATGTTTTTGTTTGATTTCGAATTGAAAATACATTACGATCATATTGTACCGAAATAAGTGCGGTATCCCTGCATTTTTGTAAAAGCCAGAAAGAAGCATAAACTGTATGAAAAAATGAAAGGGAGAAGTATACATGCCTTCTATAATTTTGACTTATATGTATATTTGGCAAGTCTTTGTGTAAACAACAAAAAATACAAATTTTCATTTCTTTGCCAGCTTGGAAAATATAGGCTTATTTTTACTTAAACGTGATATAAAGCTCATTACAATGTTCTGTAATGTCTTGTTGTAAGTTTGTTATCATAGTTCTTCGTATTTTTATTGTTCACTAAACGTGAGCGGCTTCAATTTAAAAAGTTCTAGTACAAAGAATTTCTTTGTTTTGAATTTGTTTTTAATTTTTAAAATTCATACTTTTGACATGTATGTGAATGGCGGAGTTGCCGCTTTCCTCCTTTTCGGTGGGTTTTTATATTAAAAAGGCATCAAAATGGGAAAAACCCCCCTTGGCATCTCTGCATCTGTTAAACTTTTTATGGGAAGGTGTATGAAAATTCAACTTGCTATAATTCCATATACTTAACAGTATCACAACAGTATGTTTACAGTATCTCCCCATAATTTTTCATATGAACAAATTTATTATATGCATCCCACTCGTTTTCACTGAGTTCCTCATTGGAACATGTAGTCCCTCTATTTTAACGTATCAACAGTTCATATGGCTTCATACCATGTAAATGCGCCATAATATTTCAAATTCAAGACAAAAGACGATACTGAGATAATGTTAATTCTCGTTCTCCAAGTCTTCGCTAATAGAGTGAATGCAACACCTGAAATTTCTGGCGATCTGTTTGTTGGTAATTTAATTTTAACTATTATTTTGCTTTCATCTATTTAAGACGGTTAAGAAAACTAAAAAAAAATAAAATTTAAGGTGTCTGTAAGAGAACAATAAGCAATTTAGAGCGACTCCTCGAACATCTCTACACCCACAAGCAATGCAAAGCTCAGACGCTGCCACAACTAAATATGTATGTACACATAGGTGCTTTTTTCTTGTCGTCTTTGTGGCTATCCTTAATTTATTTATTGTCCTGAACGTTGTTGAGACCATTGTTATCGGACAATAAAGTTTTCATAAGGCCTTATTATGGCATATAAGTGCGCTTTCGTGCAACTTTGCATGTACATACCTACATACAATAAATAAGTAAATAACTTTGTATTTATGTATGTATGTACATATGAATGGGCATAGTGGGCTTTCTGTATTCTAGGTTATTCGCCTATCTTCGGACATGGCGAGATACATATTTGCAGTGCTTTCAGCAAACACACGCTTGTTTACTTCCGAATTTAGGTCAACGGCAATGCATTTACTCGCATGCATGTATATACATATACATAAACACTTGAGAGTAGGGAAAATGTTGAGGGTGTTAGAGTTTGAGAAAGGTGCAGAAAGGAAATGAGTTTGTAAACTTTGTCAGTCACGCGCTTGGTGACACTCTGCGCTTATGATAGTTTTCTTTTTTTGTATATTTTGAAAGACAACACGGACAACTGAACCAACACATTAGTGTGCTCTCGATTGACGAAATCTGCATACAGGATGAGTGTTTGCGAATTGGCAAGTTGACTGTCAGGTTCCAACGACAAAGAAATTGTGCTAATTTGAAAGAAGGCGACGGCATCATGTCCGGTAGAGGTTAATTGAGCGTGTGTGAAAAGCGTCAGAGCAAAGCGATTTGTCTGGAACTTTACCCAAGGTAGCGTGCTTTATACGGGTATGTGTATGTACATGCCTTGCCTTAAGAAGGGGGAAAAAATTGGTAGTGAAAAATAATAAATTCGCTTATGGCTGAATAAGAATTAAAAATAAGTGAGCAGATTTGTCCTGATACGGCGGTAAATAAAATAGTACTTGTCGCAAAATGGGCGAAATGGCCGACTAATAGCACGCAAACTCTCTGTAAGGCCATAACGCAATTTCATGAGTATAGAACTACTGGTTTTCGAAATGTTTAAAAGTTGCGGATTTAATGCTTTTGCATGTTAATCATTATTAATGAGTAATGCCATGTATTAACATGCTTATGTATGCTTCGTATGTTCATGTATTATCGTCGTAAATAATCGCATTTTTTACAAACTACACAAATGAAAAAGGATAAGGGAATTGCTATTACGAAACCAACTATTTGCATGCTTTGTTTTGTTTCATGTTTTGTGGTTTCCGATTTCAAGCAGTCATGGTGAAGGATTAAATGGCAAAATGATTTGTAGCAAAGCGGTTTGCTTGCTGAGAGCGTGTTTGCACAGCTGTTATGAGCTGAATCATGTAAAACACTGACCGAGGAAATGACTAAAGCTTTTGAAGTTTTAGCTTGTTTATTTGAAATTACAAAAATTTTAGTTGTTTATCAGTAAATTTTTATTCATTACATACATATACCTAACCATATCAAAGGAGATAACCGCAGAGGCCTCTGAGCGAAAAGTGCCGAACTTTTAGGTTCGAATGTAATGGAAGCTCGGACAACCAGCTGTAAATTTAAATGCCGATATCATTGGGTGGTGGAAATTCGATAAATGGTTTTTTTTTATTGTATATCTGTGCCCGTTATTTTTTTTAACTTTTGTTCCGGTTGTGGAGCAATGTACATATATTTATAAGGAAACCCTTAGAAAAAATCATTATCCAGAAATAAAGTTTTTGTTTTATCCTCTCTTTTATGCTGCCAAATTGGGTTTACATAAACAGTCTACAAACACACGAAAGTGGTTCCGAGCGAGCGAAATATTTCTGTCACTTTTCATTAAAGTGAAGTTAGTGAGATCTTTGCAGAAGATTTTTTGTGAAAAGCTCGTGTGAGTATATGTAGTTAATGTGCCTTTATACAGTCCCAATTTCTGAGAACGACGAGGATTTGAGAAAATTCGGTCGTTTAGCCACACTTCAGTTAGATCTCCACATCAAGATTTTCAAGACTCTTCAGATATAAGCCTAGTTATGTACACTTAATAAGTATGGTAATTTTTTAATGGATTTGGTAAGTCTTTTTTGGTGATTTTGCTAACACATACAGTTAATTGTGGCAACTCTGCTACCCACTCCTATCTTTCGTATGACAAAAAAGTTATTTTCAACAAAATCAGTTGAATCCTTATTAATTGTATATGCCCATAAGGTTTTCAAAATGATTAAAAAAAAAAAACTAGCACTGAACTAAATAACTCGCCTTGTATAAGCATTGCCTTTAGCGTGCACTGAGTTGTGCATCAGAATCGTGTAAGTATTTCCATTTAGACGACCTTAATCAGTTGTGCTCGATAGCAATTTTATCAAAAAGCAAAAAAAGTCTTATGCAGTTGTGCTCCACTAAACAAAATGCGCGCAAAAGACGATGTCAGTGCGCATTTATTTATGTGGCCTCAAGTATGTATGTACATACATACCTACATTTGGAAATTCTTTTCCTTCTCAAACTTACTCCGCGTTCGTGGGATTGAATGAGCAGCCATTTAAGTAAGTAAAAATTTCGTAATACGAGAAGTAGCTTCATACATTTTTAATGCATGGCAAAAGCGATATGAAAAATAAGCAAATACTCAGAAGAATACGGCAAGCAAAAAAAAAAAATTTCGACGCACACTTTATTCCGCTACAAGGACTTTTCTCTTGGATGGCAGCTCATTCACTTACTGGTTATCAACGTTTCAGGTAAAGGGGCTCTTGTAAGTAGGTTCAGTATTCATTATGCATACATATACGCATCTTTGTCACATACATACATACATATGAGTCGATAGGGCAAATAAATAGTAGAAGGGAAACTGAGAGAGAGATGAATGAACAGGTAAGATGTTGCTTAACAACTTGTAAGTTTGTTTCCCGTTTATTCTGTCTGTTTGATTTGCATTTTTGCGTTTGTCTCCGATTGCTAAGTGCGCCCAATAATTACTTCGTTTGGCTGTGATTGAAGGGCATTCGAGCTGAAATTGCAGCAAATCAAATAAACTTTTAGTGCTGGAAAAGTAACGGTGACATTTTTCGTTTGCCATATCCTGGCTGAAAAGGAGTGGATATATGCATTGCTACATATTTATATATATATTTGCATACATATGTATATAAGCGTTTATATGTGGCCCGCATGTGTTTGCAGCAGCGAAGTGGGCTTGTAAAAATGCATTAAATGAGACATAGTGCACAGCGGAAATGTAATGCATCTGTAATGTGATGGCGTGCGTTTATTTTTATGTTTATCTACGCGATGTAATGTGTATTTGTGTTTGCTTTGTGTGCGATCATTTTGATGAACATTTGCAATAAACGTAAAAGCCTGCTCAAGTACTATTTGCTACTTATTTCTTATGTGCAATGGAATGTAAAAAATGAAATGGGAAGAAAAATGTAAAAAAAAATCGTAAACTCAAACTGTGCTTTTTGTAATGGTGTATAGAGCTTGTAAATAATTTATGGATGGGAGCTACTCAAGTGGCGACAGCACATACATACAAGTATCGAACACTCTGCAAGCACTTAGTGTCTATGACGAGGAGTTATTTGAAAAAAAAAACCTGCATCCCCTGCCGGATTGGTAACAACTAAGTATAGATACATATGTCGATGTGCTAAAAAAATTGTGGATATTTATAAAACAAATCCGCTATATAACCCAAAAAATGAATAAGTAAATAAACTGATTAAATTACCTATAGTGCATTCGTAGAATGGCTTACTGTTTTTATTAAAATACATAAAAGGCCATTTCTTCAAATTTTTTCGAGAAACGAAATGAATGTTGTGTTCTCCTAAAGCAAAGGCGTCTTCATACAAAGTCCTCCTGAAAAATTATTTTTTTCTCCCTTAGGGGTTTTAAAAGTTGGCAAGGCTAATCTCTACTGGACATTATGGTACGAAAAATTTTAAAAGACAGCCATTAAGTTTGTTTTCACATGGAATTTTTTCTTTCCCCCAAACAAATGTGAAAAGAGAGGATCTGCCGTACTAAAATTTGATTAACATAACTAAGGGCTTTCACTGGCTTAGCCACCCCAATGAGCTAAAAGGGGAAAAACGATATTTCCGTATATTCACAAAGAAGAAGGATGCAAACATATGTTCTTGTCCGTTCATACTCGTATGTGCTATGTATTTATGTGAAGCATTCATACATTGTTGTAAATATTTAAACACCTACATATGTTCTTGCTACCGGTTTCATGTAGCGTTGCAGCTTGCTGTCATACAGAACGGACTAATACTCCTCCATAAGCATGTGAGCACGATTGACCGGAAATTCTTTCACAAGCGGTTGATATAGTTTGCTTCATCTAACCACAAGCAAATTAATATTTGGAAAGTTTGGAATATAGAGTACCATTATGTTTTTGTAATTGAATGAATAGATATGCATTTATGTACATGGAGACATACGCATATCAAAACATATGTAGATATGTACATTAGGGTGGTCCAATTTGTTTCCCTCCAACCACCCCCAGATCTAACGAATATTAATCATTAAGAGACTCATTTTTTTTTATTTTGAAATCGTTTAATAGTTACCCGTGCCCCGGGGCTTTGAAGTTTGCCACGTATTTTACATGGGGAAAATAAACTTTTTCTTAAAATTGCTATAAAATCGTTAAAAATAAATATTTTTTGTTCGACTAAGACTATTTCCCTTCACAAGACTTCAAAAAATAACTGCATGATGTTTATTTAACGTAAAATGTTTTTGTTGTTGTTTTTAATAACCGATTGTCTCTCCTGTTATATACAAAAATTTGTTATTTTGTGTTTCATAACAACACGTACGAATAGCTCAATGGGTGTGTTTAATTATTTTTTTGAATTCGATGTTTTCTGTAGGTTTGTGGTGAATAATTTTGAAAAATAGGGTTGCCAGATATTTGAAAATCTAAAATTTTTTAAAAGTCAATAGATTATTTAAGTTTCTTCATCTAAACAAAAAGCGTTTGAAGATATTTAAAAATATTTTTGAACGGAGCTGCCACCTTTCTAAAAAAACAGACAAATGATTATTAAAAATTTAGTTTTACTTAACACCACAATATGGGTATCATGTGGAAGGCTTATGCAATCCCAGCAAAGGTTTTTAAAATGCATACCTTAATTCACATATATTTTTAGATAGGGTTGCCATTTATCTATAATACAGTATATCTATAGTAGTGGCAGTAGGAAAATCAATAAAGTGGATTTTCCTATGTATTTTTGGGCCACCCTTATGTACATAAATGCAAAAGTTTGATGAAAATAAAATGAAAATATTCATGAATAGTTTATGCCAAAAGCGTAGAAGTGCAGCATGCAACAATATGTTACTACTGGTGATGCGAGAGATTTTGCTTGCATATACATATGTATGTACAAGTGTGTGTTTTGTGAAATTATTCATATAAATGGGATTATCTAAAGCTTTTGTTATAATGAATTAACGCCTTTAGTGGACAATAAAAATTATTGTAATAAAACTTTAACAGAAGAGATTTTCGGTTTTTGCAATCTGTGCCAAATTTGTAGTATATATTTGCTAAGGCCGTAAACAACTGAGAATTCGCAACAATTTAGAAATCATTTCGATATTTATTGTAAACTCAAAGTGGTAGCCCAACGCGTTTCCATTCGGCTATAGCTACCGTTGACACAACATGGAAAACGGCATCTTATGTAAGTTGATTGTTACGATTTTTTTGTTTTGTTTGTTGTTTCAAAATTAAACATCACCCTGTCGATAGCCCGGAAATGCAATAATCAATCACTCGGCTTGAAATCTTCGACTACGAATTGATTACCCATTTGTTTACACTGGGATTCCTGTTTAAATTCAATTGTAGTTGCCACCTTTTCAGTGAGAGAAAAATTTTATGCATTACCGATTTTTCCGCTGGATATGGCCGCGCTGCAATCTATTCCGATCTCTGGATCGGCACCGATGGTTGACTTCCGACAAGACGACAAATTGAAGCATTTTAGTATTTATCGCCCGATGCCAGCTAAAAAATGAACTGCGAAAAACTAACTATTTAATTGGGTGCAAAACAAAAAAAAAATTACTGAGCGACACTCCAAAATAGGAAGGAATCGAAATATGAAATTTGCCAAATACACCCAAAATCTCGACTTACTTTTAAAAAACGGGGTTCCGTACCCTTGTGCGAAAACATTCAAGGAATGAGTTTAATTTTCAAACCAAAAAGCATAGCTCAATGTATAATTTTTATTTTTGAAAAACATAATAAATCAGAAAGCAATTATTATTGGTCGGAAATTTTTTAAATTTTGATAAATATAATTTTTTTTTGATAGAACTCAATATAACAGGTCGTAGGTTGATACAACAAATTCGGATAATCGCAAAGCACTTTTAGTCCTGTGGCCACTCTGGCTGAGTAGTTAGAGGTGCCTACTATAACTCCATAGGTCCTGGGTTTGATCTTGGCCCCAGCAATATCCAAATTAGAAAAAGTTTTTCTAACAGCGGTCGGTAACAGGTCGGGATTTTGAGAAAAACGAGGACAAAGTGGAAAAATGGCGTTTTTTGCAATATTTGAGAAGCTTTAGCAAAGAGTAAACGGACAATAGAACCTTCCACTTAAGCTTAAATTAAAGCTACAACTCTCGACTACTGTCCTTGAAAATACCACCTTGATTTGATGGTAACTTATAGTGTTATTATTACTTTGAATCTGGCTAAAGAAGGAAGATGGAACATAAATATTTGTGTTTTGGTGTTGGTTGATTTTTCCGACAAACCGGTTTGTCTGCAGACCAAACTTGACAAGGGTTGACCGAAATTCGTTCCAAAATAAATCATAATCATATTTATATTCAAGCTTCATCCAATATCTCTTAATAAATGAGATACATTGCGATCTTTTTAAAATGCTTGACCTTATTTGCTATATAATTGCATTGGATAATTTTTTAAATGCGCATTCAAACAAAATTTGAATGATTTTCTCACGGAAGTGGGTAAAATAAATTGACCGTCCCGCACTAATGTAGGTTATAACTTATACAATAAAACGTCCGAAATTCCGCCATTTATCTTGTAACTTTGCGTAACTGTTGCATTTAGGACTTGCACTCTGGTATATGTATGCATATGTATGTATGTATATGAATGAAACTTCAGTAGGTGGCACGTATGTATGTATGTATGTATATGCAGGTGTGCTTAGGTTGCAAATTTGTATGCTTACTTGTCAGCCTGTTTTGCTTTGCCTTCCTAGCACATCTTGAAACAGTTTCTGAAAATGATGTTAAGTACTTTTAGAATTTTGAGTGCAGCTGCTATTTGCACGTTCTATATAAAACTTTTACTCAAAACTCAAACGCACATCATATATGTATGTAGATGCAGCCCGTACAAAGAAAAGTTGTCAGAGAGTTTTTCCTTTCTAGAGGTTAGAAGAGTTGATAACAAATAAGGAATATTAAAAACTATGAACATATATAAATATGCATGTAGTATGTATGTGTGTGCTTGCTTATGTAAGTTATAAATAACATATTGTTGTTGATCTATCCAATGCTGATGGCATAATCAGTGTTGATCTATGTAAATATTTGAAATTAAATTCTATTCACGCGAAAATCTGAAGTTCAATATATAATTTTTTTTTTAAGAAAATTTTATACATTCATTCAAAAACAAAAATGTGTTTATTTCCAAACTTCCTTATTACCATAATGGAAGTAAGCCATGTTATTAATTTTTTTGATGCCGATTTCCTAAAGGTTACTAATATTCATATCTTTCAGTATAGGTAAGTTCATTTTAAATATTTACATGTACAAATATGTGCATACATACACACATACATACGTACATATGTTCGTATCAATATAAATATGTATGTATAAGTTGTTCCTATCCAAAGGAAGTTCAATGTCCTCATGCGCAGCTATTGACTTTAGTTTCAATATTCAAACTAGTTTGATAAAAATAAATATGCTGTGGCAAATCTGTAAACAAATGCGGCTGTTTATTGACCCTTGCAGAATAAATTTAAAAATATCTTTCGCATAAGCAAACTCGCCACAATGCCTTGCAACAAAGTCAAAAACGTGTTTCAATTCCAGACACAAAAAGTGATGCGTAGGTTTTTGAGAATTTTGTTGACTGCAGAGTATGTGTTGGGCTGTAGTACTTAATAATATATGATCGATGTTTTGGTTTTATTTTCGTGTTGGTCTCTTGTCCGGTTAAGCTATTTTTATACATTACCAGTTAAGTACTGAGTTTATTAAACAGAAGTTATATGGCTGTGAAAGCATCAGTAGGTGTAACACCAAACTGTGCCTCTTATGTGTGGACTAAAATTGTTGGAAAGTACGATTTAGTCGAACACGTTGATGTTAACAAGATATATGTACATATGTATGTATGTATGCCTGTAAAATCATGTTTGCACATGCACCTTCTCTTTACAAAACCATGGAAATGAGGTGAACTGAATAGAGTAACTCAGCACCGAGCGAAGTTAGAGAGCTTTAGCTGACTTATAAGGCACAATTTCAGATGAGCTATGTAAATAGAGATTGTTGAATAGCTTCAAGAATTCATACTGCTCACCAGCTCTACTAAGTATGTATGTTGTAGTCCTAGTAGAACAGGGGTCAAAACTGTTAATGTTATTGGTCAATTATGCCACCTTACTGAGCTGACTCATTGATTGAATTACATAGCCCTAAGATCGTCACGTCTTGCCAAGAAAAAATATGTAACGTTTGCATCGAATAAAATTGTTCGTCATATTTCGTTTTTTCATATTTTGCTATTGCAATATTCAAATTAAATATTTTGCCTCATATCTGATCTGCATTAGATGTCAGAAATTAAATTAAATTAAATTAATTTAAATTTTGATTTGATTTTGATTTTTTTGTATGAAGAAGATAAGCAAAACCTTCCACAAAAAAAAAAATATGTCAAAAATCAACGGTAAGTCCTAGGTACTTAGACTTTGCACTTTTTGGTACTAAAATTGTATGAGCTACAAAACTGCATACCCAATATATTTCTAATTAAAAAGCTCAAAGTTTTGATGGCACTTTGTCGAATTTTGCTAATTTTTGTACAATGTTTGACATGGTTTTTATTAGATAAAAAGCTAAAGCATTCATAAAGAAATAATAATCATTTAATAATGGATACCCAAGGAATACAAAAAAGCCTCTTCCCTATTTATATTTTCGCCATTGTATGCAGCAAAAGAACGAGTTAAAATGCTAACGCAATTTTCGATTTGAGTTTTTTGAGAAATTCCATAATGGAAGACGAGAGTACTTGGGTTTTCCTCATCCTTCAGGAAATGAATTTCATACTTTTATATTAAGCAGCGTGTGAAAGGTGTCATACACTGCCATAAAAACGTTAATACATAAATTTTTTTGTTAACTCTTAAACTTGAACGCTTTAGCTTTGAAAACCTGACAGCAGGTTAAAAAGGCATCGAAATTTGTAGTAGCGAACAATTTTGTTTAGCACAGCTCTTGTGTTCTATTTACATATGGGCGCGGCCAACAGGACCCACGGTACTAATTCTATAAAGGCCGGGATGAGCGGTGTCTCGAAATTTGTTTCTGGTTAGATATCTGAAATGGGTTCGTATAAATGGGTTCGGATGGGCGATAACGGGGTTGAATATTTAGAAGAGGGACAATAATTTGTATATCAAAATTCTTTGTAGATCTCTATGCGATTATCCCGATGAATACAAGCAAACAAACATACAACATTTACCGACAAAAGATCCCACGACATTCGGGTCTAGGTAAACGGAATGACTCTTTGGGGAGTTTGCATGTTGCTACAACAACAACAACAACCATATCTATACACTCGAAATTATAAGTGCAATTGATTTATTTTGATAAACCATTTTTCGACTCCCTGGCCTTATTTGTTGTAAAAATGTTTATGAATCAACCCTCCAATGATATTACTCCTGAAGTGCCACATATTTGTCTTAAATATTTATTGAAATTGA